TGAATATTTCCAAAACGCTGAAAAACTAGACACCAATGATTTCAGAATCAATGTATAATAATAAACCACAAATAACCTATATGAAGAGAAATTTGCTACTTTTCAAAACCACTTTTACACCACGCTCAGCCAGTACATAATTTTATAACCCTTATCTGAATGGCCACTTCTTACCAAGAGCTACTTATACAAGTACATATTGAGGGACAGTGGGGAGGGGTAAATATATCTTGTTACAAAAATCAATTTCACAACACAACCATAACGCTATCAATATAAGACTTTGATTATTAAAACTTTGCCAGAGGATCCCACATTGAATGAAGTCTTTGTGTACCTTTCAAAGCAATTTACCTCCATTTAGAAAAATATTGAAGAAATGGAGGGTTGCATTTTTGGGTCACCCTGTATCAATAGGACTCACTGGTAATTGAATTAATATAAATTGAATTATATGATGAATGGACGGACCGACGAACGGGTGACTTCTCTTTATTCCTAGAACTTCGAACCGGGAATTCGGAAACAATATTTGCTCGGAAAACACAGAAATGAAAAATTTGAAATTACGAAAATATTTCCAAATCTGTGCAAACATAATTGATCTCTGTTTTTATAATTTTACATTATAATTGTACATCGAGAAAGGCAACATTGCATTCCTGTGCTAACGATTTTTTATTTTCAAGCTTTCTTTTGTTTTAGCAGTCTGTAACCATGACTTTATTGTCGCAAACATCGTTCTCCTTTAAGGCCCCCTCACATATGAACGAATCCACCAAACGCAGCCTGACGCATGTGGTAAATTAGTCATTTCTGGCGAATATTGAGCGAAAATGTTTAAAAATATGTTACATAATAGAAAACATAACGAATAGTAATGTAAGGTAACTATTTGTTTCGAATGTTTTACGAAGTGTGACGAATTACTACTTTTCTTCGCGAAGATGCGTTGCGTTTCGCAAACAACCTTTGACATCCCCTTCAGCGAGTAATAACGCATACATGCGAAATAAAACGTAATTATGCGCATTCTTCCGAATCTGAACAAAGCCTTACGAAAAGCAGGAGGCGTCAGCGATTCCCGTCAGCGATTAACAACGCATACATGCGAACCAAAGCGCAATTGTGCGCATGCTTCCGAATCTAAACGAACCTTTGCGAAAAGATTGATGTACTTGAATGGCATCAAATACAATTTTCTGAAATTGAGATTTCTTTCTTAGCCATTATTTGTGTCATTTCTGTATTGCTTTCACATATTTTATCATTTAAATGTCATATCTACCCATTTTCCTTCATAATTTGTGCTATATTTGAGGAACTGACTCACTTTTTAAGTAAATTTAAAAAAAGAAAGATTTCTAAATTACATTTTCGAACGATTTTGTGTCAGAGCATGCCTCCGCGGAAAATGTGATATCTCTTTATTCTTAGTTATTGATGCAATGCAAGCATACCAATCTTTCTTCCATTGAACACTCTATCTACACATAAAAGAAAGTCATTCTGAAATATGTGGGTGGCATTTTTGGTGTCACCCTGTATTTAATATGGCTCTTCTGACATTTCTAACATAGTCTACCTTAATTAATTAAGAGGTCGTAGTCAACACAGATTTGAAATTCATACAGTGATCATCCATTGGGAATGTTATTAACACGTACAATTGGTTACCATGCCAAGCAATTATTGTAATTACTTCAGTTTGAATGAAATATCCCTATGTTTTATGGTTTTGGGTCGTAATATTTGATATTAGAATGGAAGGGGAAGGGTGTTGGACACTGTTTCTTTTGACGCTTGAATTTCATTTGGGATAGATGGGGTTTGTTTTTAATGACAATATTCGCTTAAAGATTTTGTTTCTCTTGTGTTTTCTGATCATGTTTGGTATTTTCCCTTTGATATTATATCAATACATTTCTTATTATTAGACTCGTAAAACAAAAATACGTTTAAACTAGTTTTTGCAATTTATGTCAGGCAAATTACACTTAATTTCAAGTTGACACAGTGCTTTAGATTATTTCTCAAAGTCCAACCTTTAATTTGGCACGATCCTGTCTTGCCATGGTACACTTCCTGCTAGAGAGTTGACCCAGTGCTTCAGAGTATTTCTCACAATCTTCCCCTTTTTGTTTGCTGTGTTGTGGCCTCTGATGACAGCCCTGACATCTTCCAAGTTGCGATCTCTCCTCCATTCCCCAGGAACCATGTCGCCTCTTCTGTCCTCTTGGTCAATCAGTGCATTTTGCATTGTAGGGTACCTCATTCTCATCAAGTTGTGGAGAATGCAGCATGTCTTGACTATCAGCCTCGCTGTGGATGGCTTATGGTTCATCGTTGAGAGGAGTACCTGAAATGTTATTATGCGTTAAATTGAATTAATTTGAAAATACGGATTAATAGTTAAACTGTTATATAGGGTCGAATGTGGAACTCAGTTGGTTCCAATTTATGCGCATCTTTCAAATTATTTATCAAACAAAACATACTATTTTCATGTCTCAATTAGCGGAAGTTCGAATGAAGTCTCATTTACTCGAAGTCGAATAAACGTATCTAGATAGTCCCGGGAACTTGGAGTTTAACTGTTTGTTTCGCCGACAAATATTATAAATTACAATGTACCTGGAATCGGTTGGCCAAAATTCCAAAGGCGTTTTCTGAAACCCTCCTAGCCCTCGATAACCGGTAGTTTAGAATTCTTTCCTCTCTGCTGAGGGTTCTATGTCCATAGGGCTTCTGCATGTGATCACTGAGGCTGAATGCGTCATCCCCTACCAAGAAAAAAGGCATATCAACGGTGTCGTTGGGAAATGGCTGTTGGTGTGGAAATGCGATCGAACCATCCTGCACCATCTCCAAGAATTCCGGTGCATTATAGATCCTGGCATCTCCACTTGAACCATATCCTGAAATTATACAAGAGTAAGAGGATAAAATATTGTCAGTATACATTGCAAATATAGCTATAATTGTATTAAATATATATAATTACAAAATTAATGCAGTAACGTATGTAGAGTTTACTCACCACCCAGATCACACCACACGAACTTGTAGTCTGAGTCGACAATTCCCAGTAAGATGATGCTGTAGAAACCCTTATAATTATAATATAAGGAACCAGAGCTATTAGGCTTTCTGATGGATATGTGTTTGCCATCAATTGCAGCAACGCAATTTGGAAAGTTCCACTTCTCGAGGAAACCATCAGCCAATTGTTTCCATTCTTCAGGTGTTGAGGGGGCTGTCATGACCTCATCAACATATTCGTCACATATAGCTTGACAGACTTCTCTTACCACTACAGAGAGGGTATTCTCAGCAACCCGCCAGGAGTACTGCATGTCAGAGTACTTGGCACCAGAAACCAGGTGGCGAATAGTGGCAGCTAGTTTGAGGCCTGGACCTAAAGGCTCTCTGTACCAGCTATGTTGTTTCCATAGCCGAGGACGGACCCTCTCAAAGATTTCGTCATACATTTCTGTTGGCATACAGAGGAACTTTTTGAATGTTCTGGGGTCCTCTCTTCTCAGCTCCACCATGAGCTGATCATATATGCCGAATTGGCGCCGTCTCTCTGGATTCAACCATTGTCTCCTCCAGATGCCACGTCCTCTGGCTCCCCTTCTCCGCCTAAAACGGCCTCTGATGAACTCATGAATGTTAAGTTGCTGCGTTAAAACTTCTTGCTGGGCCATAGCAGCCACATACTGCAGCCTCAGTCGATCTGTGTCTTCCATGACAAAAGAATTATTTGATTTAATTTGGTATTCTCTCAATTACTCAGCTTAAAGGGTGACGATAAGCATCCCGTATAAAAACAATATGGCGGCTCCAGGCGAATCAACTGGATCAGTCCATTTTTAAGAAATAAGGGGAGTTCTGTAAAATCCTGTTTATTGAAATTGTCTTTGAGATAAAGTAATCCGTTTATAATGATTTTGAAAACGTTATCCATGGAGTGATTGCGTTCAAACAGTACATGTACAACAGCCAATATGAATCCTTGTATTAGAACTGCTTTGTTTCATTTGTAGGATATTTCATATGCCAAGCTGTGTGATATTACGTTATGGGGAAATTTAGATGCCAATTTTTCCTTATTATACACAAATAGAAGATCCTGAAACTTCACCCATAAATTTGGAATTGATTTGTCAAAATAAAAATCACCCTTTTATAAATGTCTGACGATCTATAATATACGTATGCTACATAACAGTTAGAGGTGTTGACACAACGACATCGAACCTGTGAACCCTTGAGTATTATTCCGTGATCGGGCTTTTTATACTAAACGGTGAGCAACACCAGAAACGAGCGTTCGATTTGCTAAACGATATGCGTCACCCTTTAACGTAGATCCAATTCGTAAGTATTCGTTCCACTGCGTACAAGGTTGCAAACTGCCGCAATGGTTCGTAATGGGATCGTCGTCAGTCGCTTGATATGCAAATTATGGGGATACGACCTTATCCCCAGCGACCTGTAACGTCACTTGACGAAGCCAATGCGAAGGCTAACCGATCGTTAACGCATTGAAACGAATTTCAACGAATGACACACGAAATTTTTATTCGCTGCAATTTTTTGAACATGTTCAAAATTTTCCGACGAAAATACTCATTTCAACCGAGGTAAACGCTGACAAACGCATCTATACGAACACTGCGACGTACTGTCACGAACTCGTACTAATGAGAACGAATTTGACTAATTTCCTATTCGCCACTATACGCAAGTTGACGTAAAGGGGTTTTCGTTCATATGTGAGGGGGGCTTTAGCCATGATCAACGAACAACGCGTTCGTATGGAATACGTCTAAGTTGAACCAACGATACGAGAATGGATAATTCGAACAGACATTTATAATTGGTGATAGTGTGTGTATCTATAATTGGACGATGTTGCGGGGTTCAATAAAATTTGAAAAATATGCTTAACCTTTCTTACCAACAGGAAACAATTACTATGATTTGGTATTTTAGCTTGTGAATGCCGGAAAAAAAGAGATGGATGTCTCCCTGGAGAAAAAAATAAAGGGCAAAACGGATGTCCTAGAAAGCACATATGCTGTGGTAAGTTGATTTGATAATATTTACTCTCAACTTAACATTCAAATTCACGAAATATGCTGCCATTTTGAACAAATATGAGGCAAAATGGTGAATTTTGTATTTGCGTCACTCATACTATGAACGCCTGTAATGTCAACATATTAAGAAATGTTCCTTAAATATATTTTTTGTATGTCAGAATTTCACTCTAGTTTTCAAATATGTAATCAGATTTTGATAATACTGAAAATTAAAACAGTTATTAAAGAAAAAGTGACCATTGAACAATTCTGTCCGGGCTACTATATAGTCATGAACAGTCCTCGATAAAAAGTCTCCCCCTCCTGATCATGAATGGAACGATTCAAAAGATGAATTATTATATAAATTAGTATTATTTGTTTCTGTTGCTTGAGTCTTACTTATCATACGCTTTATCATTTGACAGGGAACGAATACGCTCATCTTGGTCACACTCTGTTTACCCAAGGTTATAAAATTGTTTACTTATCAGTTGTGGGTTTCAGAGCGAAGTTGTTATGGCAAATCTCTTTTTGCTAAACTGTAGTCTAAGTGTAGTAGGAAATGCTTTGAACTAATATACGCGGTGCATTCACAGAAGTCGACGTGCTTTGGGGAGGGTAGGGGTTAAAAGGGCCCATTAAACATATGCTCTTCTTTATGTTCTACTATAGAAAAATGTGCATTTTAATTCTAGTCGAATACTGTGAATATAAATACGGAATATGCCGATTGAAATTGACTGATTGCAAAAAAAACGAAGAAAAATATAATGGAAACTATTATTGTGCACCTCATGAGCCTTACTGCTGCGGTAAGTTTTTTTTATCATATAACACATTTTTAGAAAGACCCCATTGACAGAGAATTTTTTCATCAAATCCGATTATCGATCAAGATTTGTAAAGAATTTACTTTGAAAAAAGTTCTTGTCATTTTGATTTGTTCATATTTTGATATTTATTCAAGGGAAAGATCAATACCCGGTGATTTCAGCGGGAAGTGGCGTTTCGTTCATTGGATGAGCTGCGCGCGCACGCATAAATGTGATTATCCAATATAATTAGGGGAGGGCTATTTGAAGTAGTTTTTGGTCTCAGGCGCGACCCAGGGCTGTTGTCTTAAGGACATTTCGTTGAAAATGAGCCATTCGGCTGATAATTGGTAAGAGTTTGCGATCTTATAATGTATAACTGTTACTCAGACACATATTTTGACACGATTCTGTTGGAAATAAGCTTTGAACCGAGAGATATTCACGATTGATATGCACATTTTTGATTGTGCCATTGCTTTTCTATTGCACAACCCATGTATTGATAGAAGAAACATTAATAATACAGATTGGTTTACCTTCAATACATGGCAGACACTACATATCGGTCTATTAATACCAGTTTGTGCCTTAAATAGTTTTATATTTCCATCCACGGCCTGGAGCCTGGGTGTGTTTGTCTCTTATGTGTATGCTTGTGCATGGACTTCTAATCACTAGCAGAATTTAACATGATGCAAACTCGACATTATAACTCATGCTGTAACATTTTGACTTCGCTGGAAAACAATAGGAATTATTTTTCTTGCCAATCAATCATGAATCACAATCAAAATTTCAGAATGATCAATCAGGCAATGATCCAAATCAAGTTATAACATTATATGATATTCAGCAAGAAGTCCGGTAGAAATACAGAATATTTAAACATCAAAGCTGAAAGTTAAAAGCTAATCTGTCAATTTTCTGTCTGCAAAAGAGCGTCCCAAGAGCGTTTACATTTGACACAATAACAGACTGAGGCCTTGAAATCTAGGATTCCCCAGGAAAATATGACGTCATACTAATTAGCATAAGGATTTCCCTATTGGGGTGGGTCGAGCCTTGTTCGAAAACACAATCCATAAATACATGCTAATTTCTAAGGAGATAGGAAGTGTATAACGTGTTTATCGATTTTGTTTAAAGATTTAATCAATTATCAAATTGTTTAAGTTGATAAAGTGGTCACACTTGCTTCAATTCATAGCGAAATCGACGGATAGAAACTGACCGAATTCCCGATATCCTACCCCGTATTACTGTAGGCTATAAGCACAGTGACCTACAGAGGGCGCTATCACAAACAAGTACTGGACGAACCGATAAATTCCCGGGTATTGTAACGCCCTTGATTTATTCATTAACTTTAAAACACTAAAAACAGCTGTCGCTGATAACCGAGACTAGGTGGCATGGCAGAAAGTTTTTGAGATTGAATTTTGTAGTTAGCAATGTTCAACAGTAAAAATAATATAACTACAATCCTGTTTAACAAGTTAACACAAATTCTAATGATGCGCTATAAATGTATTATAGTAAATTTCAATGGGAGTGTATTAGTATTGTATGTATGCATACAGGTTATTTACTGAGAGGGATTCAATATTGATTTTATTCCGAGGGACAATATGATATTTCCAGAGGGCTTTTTATCCGATGACATTCACGACTCTATTCATAAAATCATTAGTGCAACACCCACGTCTGATTTTTGTATGAAACAAAACCAGAGTATATATTTAGTCTACAAAATAAGACATTTATAACATTTTGCAATATAAAAAATTATTGCATAAAATAAACACATCAAAAAAATGTGTCAGAGCATGATGATGTAATTACATTTCGCCTATGTTTAAAAGGCTTACAATCTTCATACATCTTACGTTTCAAAATCTCTATTTTCAATTTTGTTTGGTAAATATCGTTTCTCACATAAGAACTGAGACATTTTTTGTTAAAGTCCCCGTATAAAGTTTAAACCACTTTGGCTTATATTGTAGTCTTATCCAATGTTATCAAAGTGTGATATGTGAAACGTTTTTTTTATTTCAAAAAGTGGTTTTTGAAGGACTTTTTGTTCAAAACATCATGCATTTATTTAAAACTAACTTTTAGAGGTCACAAATATCTTTAAGTAAGCCACGATTCATACCAATGCACAGCATTTATGACAAAATAATTAACTCAACAATACAAGTATATATATATATAGTAATCAATTATTGGACATAACTATATTTTATATAAAAACAAACATACATAAATGTTGAACAACTACATGTAATATAAAATACCTAGGATGGATGCATCCGGAATCAATCCTTCTTCCAACAAACTAATTCCCGATGCAGCCATCTTACACAACTTTGGCATGGGGAATACTCAACCAACCATGGTGTTCGCTGTATGGATGTTTGACTCAGTCTGCTGCACAACTCCCGAGAACGAGTCTTTGTATTATTGAAAACGGGTCCTTGTATTTATCGAAATATGACTCGCACGAAGATAGTTGGTATATTTTCGGTATGTGCACAAGAATTATGAGTCAGTCAAACATCTAAATGATAATTTAAAATCTTTGGAAAAAATCCCAAAAATAATGTGCCATGAAATGGTATTGTGCCATGAAATGGTACATGTATTCTCCTAGCATTCATCCTCGCATGTTTTTTTTTCCAAAAAATTAAAAAAATCGGTTCATAAATCAGCGAGAAATGAACTTTTCAGTGCATGAAAATGGTTCAGAGAAAAATGCATTTCAAAAGTTTAGTTCTGATAGAACCCAATGGTACAATGATATCTAAAACATGATATATTCTTCCTTTTAACCTGGTTAGACAATCAACATTTGGTTTATTATATGAATGAAAATTGAAAAGGTGTTTTTGACCCCCATGTCACATAATTGGTTATATTTCTATATGGGGTCGTTGAAAATGGTGCTATTATACATCATTTTGTTGCAAATTAAATTATCTTTAAAATGATATATCATTGTTGGTGTACATGTTAAAAAATAAATATTTATTAGGAATAATGGCTAGGGGGTGTTTTTTGGCCCACCCTGTAGATCAAATATAGTGACGCTAAGATTCAATAGTCTAATTTTAGAATAACTGTCTCAATATGATGAAATAATTTTGAACACGTCTGTGTCACTCTTTGTATTCGCCAATCATAAATTAGAAAGATTTATGAATACAAAATCATAAATGATCTAAATCTTATCTCAGACTTCGTTCAAATTTTCTGTCTTACAGAACAGAAATGCATTGAGTGTACTTGTCATAGGATGTATTCACAATCTTTGGTTACAATTTAGTACCTTATAAAATATCATGATATGAAATATAAAAAAATATAAGATTTTGTTAAGTATTTATTGACCTTAACCTGCAGTTAAACATATGTAAAACATATGCTATACCATGACTTTACTCCGGTATTATTATCCAGAATTTTATTTGTCATGTTCACCCCCTATCACATTTGTCCTCAACCGTTCTTTCCAGTCGTACAAAAAAGTAACGTAGCAAAAAAGTAACGTGACAAAAAGTAATGTCGATTTTCAAAAATTCCTCACATTTATCATCGATTTTCGACCTTGTAATTGTAATTGAGGGAAAAATTGAGAAAATTTGGAGGTATTGGAAATAAAGTCAAATTACGTTTCCATCAATAGTATACGTATTTTCATCGCAGGTTAAGTATATAACATTTCAAAGGTAAAGAGGCTTTAACACGTAGTTCAATGGGGGAGCTAAGGTTGCCAAACTTATGGAGGGGAGTGTATATGTTTTTACAAAATATAATTTTTTTTACCAAATAGAAAATTGATTTAGCGAATATAAATATTCCATATATAGAATATATTTTAATTTAATGAATAAAGAAGCTAATAAAATGCCATGTACTGGCATTTATTGCCTGATTTTTTCTCCTAATCGCAATTTTACTCAGAAATATATAATAATTTATTCCAGGGTCACATATTTTACAAATAGCCAGCCATATCTGGGCTTATGAGACTAAACATTTATTTACACAACGATTATATTTTGAAATTAAAATGATCAAATACAAACATTTTGACTTGTATTAGTTTTAATCTTGAATAAAAATTCCCTTTAAATGTTAATGTATTCTGTAAATATTTTCTGAAATTTTAAATTGTATCTTGATTGCCGATGACTATTGATTACATCTTGCATTACCATACCCCATGAAAGACTCAATTTCTTGGCTTACAGAATAGATCTATTTCAAATCATAATAGATCTGTTCATTACGATGGTTAATCAGAGTATAAAATCAAACCGTAGTCCCGTGAGCTTTAATTTTAATGGTCACTGGACAATCCATTGAAGCAAGATGAATTCTCTCACTTTGTTAGTTTGATCGTTGCCTTGAGATCATTCCGAAATAAAGTTGAAGTAATAGATGTCACCGGTACCCTTGTCATTCTTCGTTTTGCTTGGGCCAGACTACCATAGCCTCCCTGTTGTTAACTAGCAGTAGTCACTTAATTTAACTCTGTATGGAAAAGTGTTGGTGGAATCTGTCTGAAACTCGAATGGCATACTATAAGTTATTCAATGATTCGAGTGAAATACAGAAAATATTCTTCCCGAGAAGGTTGTATTTCACGATGCGCTAGCAGAGTGAAATATAGACGTTCAAGGGAAGAATACTTTCTGTATTTCACGAGAAATCATTGAATAATGTTTTTATTCCATGATTACCCATATAAAACTTGCCTAAATCAAGTCCCTTGGCTTGGGGCCGGAGAAACAGATCAACCTTCTCACCTCAGAGATATTTTACATCGATATTCCTTCAAAATCTTTATGGCGTTGTTGTTTGCTTTTTATTTATTATACGAGACATTTGATTTTCTTTCTTTTTCTTCAATTTCATCAGCTGGAAGTGCAGTGTAGCGAAACGTTTTTTTCGACTTTCGTCTGCCATATTGGATTTTAAATTTTTTTACTAGT